ACTTGATAACGCCTTATGTTATTGCTACTGATATTGTAATAGAAAGTGGGCTATCAAAGGCAGGTATGGTGATTGATCCCAGAAAACTAGAAGTGGTAGAACTACACAGGGAGTGCCTAAGGGAGGCCTAATGTGGGGGATAGTGACATTTCCCTGTGAGAACACCCATGCAGGTGTTGATCTCTGGTGCGGAATATGCCACAGTACGAGCAGTGTTCAACACTTTGCATGGAAACTCAGTCATGGGGTCTTGCTTTGTGGGAGCCATCTGTTTGGACAATTGCCCCAGTTCCCCAGTCCCTCTAGGTCAGTGTTTCTCAACCTTGGCAACTTTAAGATATGGGGAATGCTAGCTGGCTGGGGAATTCTGGGAGTTGAAGCCACACATCTTAAACTTGCCAAGGTTGAGAAACACTGCTCTAGGCAGTCCTGAAACAGGTATTAAGTTGTCTGTATATCTACCTTACCCAACTAGTGTTTCTAGATGTGCTTAGAGTACCAGGATGGAAATTTTAGAATTTGCATTCCCTATAGATCTTAATATACACTGAGAAAGGCTACCAAGATTATTTTCATAGGTCACAGAACTAATTCCAAAGGGCTCCAAGCTGAGACATATATATATTCAGTTTAATGAATACCCCCCTGTAGGGACTTTCATAGGAAGTTATCTTTGTGAACCTTATGAATATCCTGCTGACTCAGTGAATTATGCACTAGGCACATTATGATTTTAGCCCTCATGCTGTCTAATAATATCTTTGAAAACTGAACTAGAGCCATGCTTTTTAAAAAAAATGTACAGGAACAGTTCAACCAATCAGACCTCTTGCTGACAAAATTTGGTAATTCAGAAATGGGAAAAGCTTTAATAAGATAAAAGAATTTTATATAACCATCATTGTTCATTTTCTATTTAGCTTTTTCCTTTGTCATCCATAGTCTGTTGAAGTAATTATTTCTGAGTGATGTAATCAGTTTATTTGAAAGTGCTGAAACTGATCTTATGCTCACAGAACTATATTGTGAACGTCTTCATAAGGATTGAGACTTTAGCTTGAAAATAATGTCAATGAAACCAGATAATCTTACCTTTTGATTATGAATTGTTCATAATTGGCTCTGTAAAGATGATCTGAGCTGACTGTTCAGAATATTTAAGTTGCTTGAAAAAATCATGATTCTCAGTATGCATTTAAAATAATTATTTTTAAAATATTCAGTTAGGCTTTCTTGTCTATATTATCTAAGAAAAATGTTTCTTTCTTACCTATTTTGCATCCTAGTCTTTAAAAGTTAATTGGCATTAATTAAGTTACAATATTTTGCAATAGTTCAATTGAAATGGAGCTACGGTTAAAGAATGAACATACTTTGTGTTGGTTGAGTTTTTAGAGCTTTAAATAGCTCTTCTAATAGGAAGCATGAGGTGAAGAAAAGCAAGGAGAAAAATTTGTGAACCTTAGAAACTTGAATGCTAAAATTTGGCTACCATTTCAAAACTAAAGTTAGCTCAGTACGATTCATTGCCTGAAGCAGAGCAGAAAATGGTTGCACAACCCCTTGCTTGGTCAAATACTTTAAGGCAGCAACCCGTCACCCACTTATCTGGAGTAAACCCTATCAGAATCAAAAGGATCTGAATATAGAGTTGTGGGTAAGGCTGTAGTCCTAGATGTGCTTTCCTGAAAATAATCTAATTAAAGTCAGTGGGATTTATCTAAGAGTAGACATTGCAGAGTTAGACTGCACAAAGTCTTGCTCAGCTTTCAGACAATGGTTCCTGCCTTCATCTGTCCTTTTCATTATCTGAAGCAGGCTATTTCATCTTGTTGCAATGAAATATTGTTTCTCCTGACTAAGTTATTTTGCAGTGATTGTCATACACAGGTTGATTAGATTTTGCAGCTTTTGTGGGACTAAACTCAATCATAGGAAATTTACATGTGAGGAAGTCCATTCTGCTATATTTTCTGTCAACTGAATAACATAATAAATGGACTTCCCACTCCAAATCTTAGGAACATAGGTAGCGCTGTATAGATTAAAATGTCATTGCACTATATTTGGTCAAAATAGCCATTTGAACTGTTGCAGAAGATGTATGACTTGAATCATTCATTATGCCAGTTAAACACCAGGATGGGTCACTACACTGCAAGGGGACAATGATAAAAATCCATCTCCCTGCACAGAGTGGGTATTGCTGTGGGTCAGCTGGGTGACTTTGTGCCAGCCACTATCTCTCAGCACTAGGAAGAAGGCAGTGGCAAACTACTTCTGAAAACGTGGCCAAGAAAACTGCTTAGATTAGTCCATGTGGTCACCAGGAGTCAAACCTGATTCAAAGATGCATATACACCCAAAAAAGGCTACTCTTATTTTTCTGGATTGTTTCAGAACTGCAATCAGAGTGGCTCATTTAGTAGGACATAGGAACAGACAGTGCAGAAATAGTATTGTTCTTATGTTCTGAAGACATACAACTGAGTATCCAGTTTTGAAGTTACTGTGTGTTATGTGTTATTCAAGTTCTGCTTGGACCGCAAAGCTCAAAGTGAATATTTTAAACAAGACTCTAAGCAACCCATAAAATGTGGGTCATCTTTTTCCTTAGGAGTTAGAAGTTGGAACAAAATTGATGTTCAAAGACTTTATTGTTGAAGTAGCAAAAGCCTCTATTCAGGCGATATATTACATAAATACAGTATCAATATTGTTGGAAATATAAACACACCCACAAAAACACTACTACACTACAATAAATCAGATGACAGAGCTGACAAACAGCTGACTAAAAGGGCAGTATGATTTGAGGAGATTATTATAGACAGAATATTGAATCACATAACTTTTAGCAGCAGTGGGCAGCTGTTTTTTTTTTAATTTTATTGTTGTCCTTTGCATATTATGGATCATTCCAAAAGGAAACATATGCACCCAATCATCAGGGATTAGTGATTTAATTTCAAAAGAAAAAAAATATTCCTTCAACAGTGAAAGTTTTGAAGACTACTGGGGTGGGAAATTGCTTTTTCTTTGGATTTACTAGCTGGACTGATCAGGGCTATTTTCTATGTCTCCCTCTTTCTCCCTGCTCCTCCTCCTCCTTAGAAAAAGACTTTTCTGAAAGTAAGTTTCAATGAATCCAATAAAATGTATGGCATTTGTACTATAATGGAGCTTAAGGTAAAACTACCCTATATAAGCTTCATTGAACCCAATGGAACATATTATAATATGGATATTTTTAATGCTTCAGTTCTATGCACTAATCTTCTTCAACCACTGGAACCCTCCAGATATTTTGGTCTAAGGCAGTGTTGTCCAAACTTGGCCACTTTAAGATGAGTGGACTGCTGGCTGGGGAATTCTGGGAGTTGAAGTCCACTCATCT